CCACAAAAAAAATAAAAAATTAAAGTTGAATTCTGAAATTCCAGTTCGAATATGGAGCTTATTCTGTATTCTGCAATGCCATTACTTATCATTTACCAAATTCTGAAATTCCAGTTAGCCGATAACTGACGGATGGTGGCAGGCCTGCCGGCAGAGGTTTGAGAGTAGAGAGACGAATGTAGCGGTGCCGGTTGTCGGTTGATGTAGCGACGGAGGCGATAAATAGTGGAGACTGAAGAGAGACTCTCTTAGAGAGTGAAGAGAGAACGAAAACGATGATGAATGAACAGGAACTGAAGAGACACAAGAGACCGAGAGGTAAGACCGTGAGAGTTGAAGTTTGAAGAATGAAGATAAAAGGATATTTGAGGGGTTTTTATTGGGCTTTTTGGGCTGGGGCTTTTTTGTTAGGGCCACTTAATATTTTCGGCCCAATGGAGTGTATTGGGTTTATTTTTTTATGAGGCCCCTAAAAATTTGTGGCCCAAGGCCACTGCCTTATTAGCCTTGGGCCATGGCCGACCCTGCTCTTATAGGTTGTAGGCCTTATCTCCATGGCATACTTTCCTGGGATGAAACAAGTATCAATAACTCCGAGACTCTGACCACGTTTATAAACTTTGTTGAGCAAGTGCATTTATTTCCATAGTGTAACGCATATGAGGATGAAGCAGCTTATAACGTATATAAGGATGATACATTTATTTCCATACAAGCGTGCGTCCTCAACCTAAAAATTTCACGAGATATTAGACAGGTGTGTACATTCTCAATGCAAAATTCTAGAATAATATTGAGCCAAAATTCTGAATGTTGATACTTTGACGAATGCTTGTCATACTTGTAGTTCACGGGTTAATGGATACCTGCATTGATAGAGCAAACATATGCTTCAGCTAATTTCCAAATCCAATGAGTCATTGCATAATGCCCAAGAGTAAAGACGTGCTTGTTGGTACAAAAGGTGAGGAAGGAAGTGAAAAGGAAGTGAAAGCTCTATAACCATTGGGCTAAGAACACCATTTGGATTATAGCAGAATATTGTTTTTAAGGCATCAGCTTTTCTTTCAGGTAATATGTTTATCTTCTCAATGAATACCAAAAGGATGTCATGATAGTCGAGTACAAAAAACCACGTATCCTTTATAGTTTATAAACAACAAGCAAATCAGGTTCAAAGTCACGACACATGATAGGTCCAAAGTGTATTGGTAAAGTTTCGTGTCCAAAATGTTATTTTATTGAGTTGTAATTAGGGTACGTTATCTGGAGTTGGGAGTTTCTTTGGAAGGAATGAAAGTCAGCTTAAGAGGTTTAAGTTAAGACAAAAATTGTCTGATGGAGCCGATGGATTGCTCGAGCAATGTTAATATATGTTGACCGCCCATTGGGTGCCTACTAGGTGCTCGAGCAGACATGATATCTAGGCAAAACCTAGTTCACAAATTTCAACCTTTTTACAATCCAAAACAGCTCATAACTCTTTATATTATAAATACCCAAACTAAAATTTGTCCCTATGGTGTGTTGAGCATCTATTCATTCAAGAGAACACATTGTTGAAGATCAACTACACAATCCATAATTCTCTTGCCTCAAACTATAAGGTCAAAACATAAAAAATTCTCAAAAGATCAAAACACCAAATAAACATCTATCAAACTATCATTTAGAGTTTTGAAGATCCAGAAATGTGACTGGAGTTCCAATTTGTAAAGAACGAGTTTGTTCTAGGTGATCCACGAGGAAAAAAGAAGTCCATAGGTTCTGAGCTGGTGCTGGAGTGCATATTTGGAAGATTCTTTGACAATTATAGGTTGGGGGTCGAGT